GCGCGGCGCCAGCCTCGGCGGCGCGTTCCTGGCAGCGGCCCCTCCCCCGCGAGCGCTCCGCCCCCAACTTCTCATTCACACTTTCCCCCCTCCCTTCTAAGAAGGCCGGTTTCTGGCAGAGGCGGGGGCGCCGCTCCCGGAGCGCGGGCAGTTCCAGGAGGCCGAGCAGGAGAGGCTCCCGGCTCCCCTTCCCTTCTTCTCGGACCTCGCGGGGACACCCCCCTCGCCCCCACTCGGGCCCGCCCGAGGTCCCGATCGCGGCCCCAGGAGGCCCCGGCCTGCCTCAAAGGAGGGAAGTGGAGACACCCCAAAGCCGGGCCGCGAAACTCGGGCCGGACCTGGCAGCTGGAGGGGGTAGAGGCGCACGACAGTCACCTGTGGGCATGTCCCCGAGGCGAAGCACGAGTCCCAGGGGTGGAGGGGACGCAGCCTGCGTGGCAGCTGTCTGGCCTCAGCCCATCGGCCCATTGCCAGGTTCTCTGCTGACGCTGACAGGGGAGCCGCCTCCCACTACCAAAAAGCCAAAAACAAATAAACAACAACCGCTTTCACACATCTGGGACTCCAAACCTGCGTGGCGCGGTGTGGGTCCGGCCAGGCGCTCCTACGCGGCGGGACTGGCCAAAGCGGGGAGAGGTGGCCGCACCCTGCGCCCCGCGTCCGCCAGAGGGCGCCCAGGGCTCTCGTAGGTGGAGTGGAGTTTGGTGTTGCTCCCCGCAAGCCCTGGAATGGAAACGCGAGGGGGCGGTGGGGATGCCGGCTCAGGAGCTGGGGCGGGGGACTTCATGGGGGACCGAGGAGAATTCACTCCGCCGTCTGGAATTAGACCTAGGAACTGAAGTCCAGCAGGGGGAAATTTCCAGAAAGCAGTTTTCAGGAATTCGGCCCCGCACAGCCTAGAATGTGTTCCCCCACACCTCTAAGCGTGGGGGTCGAGTATCTCCTCGGGGATGAGAAGACCAGATGATTGAGGAGAACTATGTCCTTGGTCCCGATGGCACGAGTGTGGGAGGTTTGGGCTAACCAGGGCCGGCTTTACGAAGGATGAAAGGTTTTGCAATCTGTCCCCAAACAGGCAGTGGGTTGCCGGAGACACCTGAAAATCGGCTTGATTGGTACTTAAATTGTCACCTCTCAGGACGCAGGGGCTGTGGGCTTTGGGCCCTGCCCTCGGGACTGAAGATAATGAACGGGAAAGCAAGGAGAGGCGGACCACACCGGGCAGCTCCGGGGTCTCGAACGGAGAGACCTGGTCCCTTTGCTTCACAGGGAGCACTTCGGCACCTCACTGCCCTTGCAGCTGCGTCCTCGCCTCTCTCCCTACAGATGCCGAAGAACTCGGGGAGGTTTGGGTAGGACACCTGACCTCTCTGGGATTCAGTTTTGCCATCTGCAAAAGAGAAGTAATAACCTTTTCTCATCGGAGATCTGAGGTTCAAAAAGAAAACGGGAAAGATTCTGCACGTCAAAGTCTGATAGAAATGGAAGCAATTCGGTCCGCCTCTCCCTTCCGATTGTATCGGGAGGATAGTCGTAAGGAAGAAGTCTTTACTGCGGCGGAGGGAGAAATTGACTCATTTAACACATTTCACAGGACCTGGGCTCTTGTAGCAGGCATTGTGCTGGGCATTGAGCTAGAATGATGAATAAGACCCGGTCTCTGCCCTCACAGTGCTTGCGGGCTAATGGAACGGATTCTCCTCTCTGTAATCAGGAGCCCATTCTTTTTCTCATCCATTGATCACACAGTTCTGTGCTCAGCCCTGTGGAGGACAAGGAGGACTCACAAGGAATAGCCCTTGAGTTAATGGATGAGAAAGTGCTTTGTAAATTATAACGCTCTGACACAAGTCAGGTTCATTCATCCATTCCACGAACCCTCATCTAGTGACTGCTTTTGCCAGGCAAAGTGCTGGGAAGACAGAAGCGCTGGGTGTATCCTGCAGGGAGACAGGCGAGGCAAGAGACATGCGCACCCCCCCCTTCCACCAAGGGATGGGTGCTATGAGAAAAAGGTGGGTGTGATTATGACCCCATGAGACTGTGATAGTTCATTTTGAAGGAGTAGAGGTAGTTTGAAGTAGAGAGAGATAAGGAGGAAGAAACAGCCCTGGAGCCCCGGGAATCCCAGTCTGGTTACCTGTGAAGCAGGTAAGTCTTAGCGTCAACAGTGTGGTACCCGAGGGAGCCTGGGCTCTGCAGAGGGCCAGCAGCAAAGGCTGTACGGCTGGCAGGGAGCTTAGAGTGGGCCCACGAGCACAGAGATGATTTGAAGAGCAGAGAGAAGGGGCAAGGTCATCAGGCGTACCCAGGACCCTAAAGAGAATGCCCCAGATGAAGGTCGGGGCGTGCAGCAGGAAGGTGAGCTGGGCTCCCTGTGTACTGACTCAGGAGACTGAACTGCTGCCCAGGATCTACTATTGGTGGCTATATGACTTTGGGCAACTTGCTTCCCCAGCCATGCCTCGGTTTCTTTACTTGTAAAATGGGCTGATAATAGTACCTACCTTATCCAGTAGTCATGAGGACTAAATGAGCTAATGCATGCAAAATGCTTAGAATAGTGCCTTGCACATATTAAGTGCTCAATGCACGTTAGCTATAATTGTTTCGAAAACATCGGGGAGCCTTTGGGGAGAGAGAGGAGGGGAGAGCTGGGCCGCCGCAGCTGAGCTACCGGGGGGTAGATGTGACCAGGAAAACTTTACGTTTTGAGAGCTGTGTACCTCCTGCGTGAGACACATTTCAAAAAGCTGCTTATCTTCAAACAGTTCAGCCAGCCCGGTTTCTCTTGGGGTATCTAACATCTCCAGTAGTTTCCCATTGCCTCCCCATGCTAAACCTCTCAGGGACTGTGTGTCGAAGGCCCTCAGCTCCATCTGGGCTTCATCAGCTGCCCCTGGCCCACTGACACCTTGCGCTGCAGCCATACAGAGCTCCAGGCTGTCTCCGAGATGTTTCCCAGACCGGGGGCTTTGCGCGTTCGCTTCCCTCTGGGTGGAACGATCTTCCACACCTTGGCTGATTCTTACTTTTTCTTTAAGATTTGGCAGAGGTTGGATCTGAACTTCCAGGGTAGCTCTTTCCACATTGACCAACATGCTCTAACTGCTTGTCCCGTGAGAACCTTGAGGAAACGGACTCTATTTGATGTTTTCTTTGTAAGCCTTGAACTTGGTACATGGAAAGTGCTCAGTGAATCTCTAAATAAGGGGTTGTGTTGACTTCCGTTTTCCATCACTGTTAGATCCCACCAGCCGCATTGGCTTCTCCCTGCAGAGCCCGGGAGCAGCTGTACGGATGGGACAGAGGGTGGGCGTGTGGATTGGTGGAGATCAGTAGGCCTGTGAATCTGGAGACAAAGGGAGTGAGGACTCGAACTTTACTGACGAAGTCAGGGAGGAGACACAGGGCCAACGGGGGCACACTCCAAGGGGCCCGCTTCCAAGCGAGGGAGATGCCCGACCCAGGGCGGGCCTAGGGTAGTGCCGTCTTGTCTCTCACCGCCCCCATCTGCTGGGGGCTGGAGGCCAGAGAGGCGTCACCCCGGTCCGGACCCTCTGCCCAACCCTGCTGATCTCCTCATGGAGAGATTAGGAGCCTCCTGCCTTTTCCTAATCGCTTCCTTTGCAGAATTTCTAGGAAATCAGAATCCCATTTCCAGGCAAAGGTGCTGGCTCACAAAGATAATAAGATTCATTCATGGCGGAGGGGAAGTACACAGCAGTTTCAGCTGCCTGTGGGGTGCCGCTTACTCATGGTGTGTGACAGACGATGAGCTCTTCCCCCAACCTCACGGATGGGACCGCTGGTGCCCACGGGGTGGTCGTGGGAAGCTATGGCGTGGCTTGGTGAGCACAAGGTCTCATACTTGCATAGATGATCTCCCTGTCCTCCGGCCAGCCCGGGGACCGGCGCTGAGGCTGCCATTGTTTGGTGACTGCATTTCCAGCCAGAGGGGTTGGGAGACTGGCCTCAGACCACAGAGTTGCTCAACAAGCCCAAGGCCTCTCTTCGGCTCCAGGAGGTGGCCTGGGTTTGACTGCCCGGAAGCCTGGTGTCACTTACTTCACGTTGATTGTGCTTCTCCTGCGTGCCGGTTACGGCTAGGCCTGGAGACGTGATGATGGGGAAAAGAACCTATTTCCTTCCTTCTGGAGCTTCTAGTCTAGTGCTGGTGGTTACAGGGGAGCTACAGTAGGGGGTGAGGCCTCCCCTTCCAGCCCCCCTTTCTCTAGGCCAATGCAGAGAAGGTGCTGGGGGGCCTGCCTCTCACCTGACCCCTTGGAAGCCCTGTCCCCCGCTGTCCCAGCATGCTTTCCTTGGGCTTTGGCCACTCTGGTGCATCTCAGCCCCTCAGCTGAAGCCCCTGCCCACGGGGACCGATGATGGGGGCCGGCCTTGCCGGCAGCAGGCCTGTGGCAGAGATGACCTTTCTTTTCTAGTGCAGGGGAAAAGGTTTGTGGGTAGGGGTTACATACCAGGTTGACCATAATCTCTCTCTTTCCTGCTTGGGACAATTTCAGTGGGCCGGGACAATGGCCTGCCATGGGAAGCGGGAAGCGGCCTTCCAGTCTGCAGGCCTTTGTTCTTGCC